GTACATAGACTGAATTTAAGAAATAAACAGTACATATTTAAATGCTTATAATTGTGATCGAAGATTCTCAATCGAACAGAATTTAATAAATATTATGTTGTTGAATTCTGTATGTATATCAATCCACTTAACACGATTCTATCAGTTTTTTCTAATCTGTGATCTAAACCAATGAGTATAATCCTTCAGCTTTATAAAACTTCAATCAACATCTATATGTTTCAAACTTTTATTATAAAATATATAATATAATGATATGATATAAAATTTAATCATATCATTATTTTATTTTTTTATTTTAGAGAAAATGAAGCCAAACAATTAATTAGATTGATTTAAATTCAATAATTTTTACATGTGAAAAATCTCGTAATAATTATGCATTTATTTCAATAGTTTTTCGAAGTGGTAACAAACCGAAAGTTGTTTATATTTTTATAATTAATTGTAATATCTGGTAAGTGAAAAAAAATACATTTATGTTACAGGGTGTTTCAATTTATAGGTGTACAATTTAACAAAGTAAAAAACAAATGAAGACATTATGAAACGTAACAATTATTATTGGTGTATTTTAATTTATTTCAACATTATTTTGTTTCTTTCATTTATTTTTTATTTAAAGTTGAAATCAGGGCAATTTACACTTTTGTATAATAAAAAATTGAAAAAAGTAATCCTAATCGAGGTGTAGAGTTTAGTGGTGTTGGTGTTAAGATTTCAAATAAAAGAATCGCTAATATAATTTTGAAGTTTACAATTTTGAAAAAGTTAGTTTCGGAATATGCGCTCTTTTGCGCTTTTAGAAAAAAATTTCGTCCATATTAAAGTACACATACGAGTTTAGTGAAGTTCGTTCCCTTACAATACGGAAACACATCAGAAGCGGGTCTGCTGTAATACGAGGTGGCGGGAACTAAACAGTTACTAATGTATAAAACCTTGTACCTACTAATGAATCTGTGGTTCCTATATATTAGTTTCTATTGCCATCAGTACATCACTATCAATCAAGAAATCAAGAATATGTATTATTTCATTAAAGAAAGAATGAAGCTGAATATAATGCAGACATTTTTACTTACTCTGAATATATTTTTATAAAAAAGAGAGATAATCTATTGACTACATAGAAAATGTACGTACCAAAGGCGTGAATGGCGCCTCGACGCTTGGCGCCTCTGAAGATTAACTTAACTACTGATAATTGATTGAGGTTGAATAACTATAAAATCTTGCAAAAGCTTTTCCACTAGTCGGCCCTGCACATAATGGTCGTATAAATATACTGATTGGAACATTAGATACGGAAATTTAACTTGTATTGTACCGAGAATATAGGTTAATCAAGATACTGTAAATAATTAAGTAAATATCCAATAAAACCATTAAAGTTTTTTGTAAAAAATTAGATTTTCCAATTATTTGAATCGTCTAAATTATTTATTCGTTCATATAAAAAAGATGTTCAAAGACCCTTCCTCGCGGAGTATATTATCTACGCCACTGGCTTAGTATATTTTATTTATTACTACTTCTACAACCTCCAGTTGAACAATTTTGATATAGTTACATTTTTTCCAATTTCTCATGAATTTCGTAATCTTACCGTGATAGTTAAAATGGTATTTTTTGGGCGACATACCTCCCTGTTCTAATAAATGCAAATTTTCTGTATTAATGATTTTGTTAAAGTTTTTCATTAATACAATTTAAATTTTAAAATTCCATTTTATTTAAACTTTATTTGGGAAAGAGTAGTTCTCTTATTTTAAATTCAATTAAACTGGTTGATAACGAAAATTAAATAATAAAAAAATTACTAACCATTACATAGATTAAGTACACAGTACACTTACAAATACGAGTAGACCAGAGCATTGCCGACAAGTGGCGGTATTGGATTGGCGCATGGCGCACCGCACCAGACCTAACATTCAGATGAGCCAGAGTATATATATTTTTAATCACTGAACGATTAACGATGTTAAACAACGTTTTTTTCTTAATTCGCGTAATAATGCCAGCAATCAATTCCTGTAATAGACATTATCGAGAAAATTGAAAAAGATTTTCAAGAAAAACGCGACCAAAAAATTTTTATTTTTTAGTCATTTTTGGACACTTGAAATGAATAAAATCGTTATCACTCTTTTTTACCATGAAAGTACAACTCTTCCCTGACTCGTTTCTCTACGACTATTTCTCGATCAAGAATAGCCGATATTCGAGATGACCTTTTTTTCCAAAAATTTTGATTATTTTTTAATTTAAAAAAGGCACCTTTTTGGATTGTTGAGGGCTACATTTACAGCAAGTAACAAGTTTCAAAACCTTAATTTGCAAGAGATACAGCAAAAACAAGAACAGTCGATTTTTGACGGTTTTTTCGATATATCTCGAAAAGTAATATAACAATCGATATACCTATTTAAAAATACGAATCGATAGGTTTTTTTAATAGCTACAACTTTCTCATTTACTTTTTTCGATTGGAGTTCAAGTTTATTTTTTTATTAGCGAAAAGTCGTTGTTTTTTACTTTTTTCTAGATTTTACAAACATCTGTTCAATGTTCAGAACAACATACAAAGTTTGGTTGTCTTTTGTCTGTTCTTTAAAGACGTTTCTAAAGGTTGTCCTTTCAAATCTTTTTTATTACAAATTTTTGTTAATTTTTTAGTGTTATTAAGATTTACTCTATGCGAGGACTGCGAGGCTCTGGTCTCTGGATCTGGTGCCGTGCTAAATGCGATGCTCCGTTATGGCCGTATCCTTATATCTCCGCCATTGATTGACGTATTTATATACGAATTGAACATATTTTTACCTTTAATTAGGTAAATGACTAGCTCAAATTTCCTCACTCTATGCACGCCTCCTATTTTAAGGATTAAACAATAATAAGACCTAGTTTTTCCACTTCTAAATTTATTAAATTTATTTGTCAATTAAATCTGTCCGTCTCATCATATCTGACTGCGTAAGTGACAGACATAGATCTGACTGGCAAATAAAGAACCTAACTGTAAATAATGTGTGCACTGAAACATTTAAAAGTGAATATCTCGAAAGTAGACATAGATATTAAAATTAAACCACAGTTCCTATTTCAGATAGACAGTGATCCTCTTTTGGATTTAACACAAGTTTTTACTACAATTGTACAGAAAAAAAGTTTGTTTGCCAATGCCATAAAGCATAACTAGCGCCCCTATGAGCTACGTCTAAATTAGTTAAAAATTTTTACTTGTACCAAAAAAAAAATGTAAACTGGCAATTTTTAATTTGATATACTATATAAACTTTCAAAATTATTGAGAAATATCAAAATAAAATTCTAATTTTTCAACACCCTTATATCTTAAACTATAAATATTCGTTTTTCGTCCAGTTATCATATTATTTCAGTATCTAGTATTTCCAAATCCGAATTTTGCCATTCTTAATTAATCGCCCTGTATTTTCTAAATTTTCTAAACTTGTACAAATACTTTACGTCGGATTTTTGTGTCGGCCTAGTTTTTTGTGGTCAATTCATGATTTCGGTCTTTCTACACTCCTTATTGAAAAGTTTTTAGTTTGTTTTTGTTACAGATTAATTAAAAGCATTAAATTATTAATGTGGAGTAGTGTTAATAGTATGCTCCGAGCCCCCTATTAGCGAAGCTCCCCTGCACTGCTTCCTTTTACTTAATGGTAGTATTATTAGTAGGTCCGCCACTGATGGTAGATACCTACATATTTGTAAATTGTAAAGATAACTATGTAAATTATTATATAACTGTAATGAAATATTATTAGATATATCTAATAATTTTTGAATAATTTTACGCCTATTAATGTCACACGATCAGATGAGATCAGTTACATCAAGTCTGAAAAGATAAAAAAAAGATCAGGAAAGGAAGAAACCGAAAATTCAAATCTAGCTACATACCCAATTGTACGTGCGCATGACAGTGACGCCACACGACTGTCGGAGATTACGTAAACTACCAGCTCGTGACTGTCTTTGGCTGATTATCGCCATTCGCCATTTTATATTGTCGTTTTTCAGTGAATTAAATGCTAAGCCGACAAAGATAGTGTGCGTGTTGTGTGTGTCCCGTGTCATACCCACCTCGTTGTTAATGTTATAGTACAGAATATAAGCCAAAAAAAAAACAATTTATAAAATGAAAAATTTAGTGTTGTGTATTACCTTAAATTTTATATTTTTTATCAACATCGTTTATTCGGGTAAGTGCTATTTTCAGATTAAAAAAAAATTGTTTACGCACATGAATACGAACTGATATTCGGAAAACCAAAATCATCCCAAATTAATTCAAACGAATCGATACACTTGTAAGCTAAACTTATCTCGCTGCTAGCGGTACATTTAACTTTTTGACACTGACATTTTTCGTAGGTACCTAAAGTATTACACATACCTACCTAGTTTAACAGAAAAACCATTAGTTTTGTTGTGCTGTTTTTCATCAAATAATGTAGAAATAATAAATTTAAAGAGTTGATAAGCTACCTTATACTTGTTCTATTTTAGGTTATCACTTTTTTGTCTTCGGTCCCTCCTACAATTAATGTTTTTTAATAGATTAAGGAATAGTTCGGGTTTGTTGATTATCAACTTCAACTATTAAAATATAGGTTCCTAACAAAATTTTATGTGCTTTGTTGCCTTGTTCCACCTAACCAAAGCTAGTTATTTCTAGATTTTACAAACATCTGCTCAATGTTCAGCTCAGCATACATAGTTTGATTGTCATCATATTATTCTTTAAAAAAGTTTCTAGGGGTTGCCCTTTCAGATTTTTTTTATTACAAATGTTTAAATTTTTTAGTGTTATGAAAATATTTTTAATTGTACTAATTTATATAGACCTATTTTGTTAATTATTTGGATGGTTTAATTATGAATTTCCTTGTTAAATTGATAACATGTAACACAACATTCAGTACACTACTATTGCTTTAAGCAACAAAATTGTATTGTTATCTTAATAAGTTCTAGATTGTGAGTAAATAGGTATAATAGGTATTTATATACATTTATCAAAGCAGTTGTAGGTTATTATTTCTAATGAAGTTTTATATTATTCAAGACAAGACATTTATTAAAATACAATATTGAAGAAAATATCCTACCTCCTACCTAGTTAATTAGATGATTAGAACTCAGCTAAAATATACTACTAATTAGGTACTAGAGAAAAATACGCCATTGAAGTCTTTCTGAATGTGTACAATAATAGCTTGGTTTTCTCAAAATTATTACCCTTGTTAAACCTTCTAGATAACGTCACTGCAAAAGAAGACATGTATGAAAACATATTTGAAAATTTAAAATGTTTTATTGCCTATTCTGACAAGTTTGGTTGACTTTTTCAGAAAATTAATTAGTAATGTACTTTAAGGATTTCACAGTTTTTATCATTAAATAATAATCACCCTCATTTCTCGGCTCTACTAAAAATTTTATTACTCGTCCCTTGGTTCTCCTCCTAATCTTATGTCCAAGAACTGAAGAAAATTGAGCGTATGATTTCCCAAAATGAATTACTTTTGAAGCAATCAATTAATAGATATTTTATATAAAACAATATATGGATGAATTAAAAAATAAATATTTACAACAGTAGAGATTGTCTCATTTGCTAGAATAAAATAAACTCTCCAGATTGTTTAGGACTCAAAATGTACAACATATTGCCTGGCAAATTAAAACTAATTAAACGTGAATATTTATTTATAGGTGCTTTAAAGCAGTTTTTAATTGAACAGTGTTATTTTATACTGGCATTTTTCCCTAGGTTGTAAGATTTATTTGACTATTCCTAATTTCTATACATATAATAACGCCAAGGAAAATAAGCTGTTATTATTATTATTATATTGCACACATTAATTTATTAATAATATTCAGTTCAAGCAAAACATATTCCCTGGAAAAGGAAATATTTTAATGCTTATAAGGTCTACATTAGATATCTGCACTCATATTGTACTTTTTAAGATAATCTTTGTAGGCGATTAATATTTTTAATTAGCGTATGTTGAAATAATTACTTAGAAATGTCGCAATATGCAAATTAATGTTATAAATGGAATTAAAATTTCTAGAGTAACATTTTATGAATTTGCGTAAATGAGGTAATAAAGCCAAGTGTCGTAAAGTAATTATCTTTTATAAAAATACAATGTAGGTAAATAAGATTTGAAAATTTAAAAAGTAATTGGCACATCTGTAATATATAAATGTATAAAATATTCGTAGATTTTAGAGAACATTTAAATATTTTGTAATGGGGAAAACTTTTCGTCCAATCGATACCTTTTTGTCATGTTCTTGTGTGACTCAATTTCTTTCTCTCACCATGATATCATCAGTAATAAATGACTATGAATTTTCCAATGCTCAGACATTGCAGTATTTTGTAATTTCATGTATATTAAAAAATTGTATATATGTAATTATATCTGTTCTCGGTATTATTTTAAGTAAGCATCACTCACACCGATAGTTATTATTAAACTTCTTCATTGTTGTATCTACTTCTCTATCTACTTATTTATTGAAACGTCACTCAAAGTAGTAAATGATTCATCATACGTATGATTAACGCATTTATACATATTTTGAAATGAAACATTATACAGGATGTTCTGTAAATATACGAACTGATCAGCCTTGTATCTTTTTTATTTATTAATCGTTATTTTATCAGATAGTTATGATGAAATTTTGACGTTTATAGACCGTCAGAGTTCAGGGGGTATTGCGATCGACGCCCTCACATACAGATAATGCTTTTATTACTCCTATATAGGGTGTAGCCCGGAATCTTCGGGTTTTGATGGTACATCTTCGGGCTCCGGATTAACATGTCATTTCTCCGGGTTTTCTTTGTTGCGGAAAAATCGTGATTTCTTCGAAAACATTTCCCACATTTCCTGATTCCGTCTTTTTTTAAGGCACAAACAGGTCATGTCTCCAGGTCTGTCATGAAATAGATCTTTCTAAGGGGTTTCTTAGATCTGACACCGATTGATCGCGTTACTTCCTGGCTGAGTCCTAGTCCACGTGAAAAAAAAATTGCTTTAATTAAAACATAAGCAGTATAAAATATATTTAATCATGCCAAACGCCAAATTTTCAGTTGAATATAATATTAATAAATATAATGAATATTATCCATAATTTTTAGAAAATTTGTACGAATGCAAGTTTATTCAAAAAAGAAAAAATCTCGGAAAAAATGTATTCAGTACTTGCAAAAATTATATTTTCTAAATCTTCATTAATCAGAACTTTAAAGTCAAAATCTTCAAAACCAGGTTAATTTGTCAAAAACATAATTATTTCTAATGATTCCGCAATACATTTGTGTTCTTGATTACTATAATTTTAATAATAACTAAAACTAACATTTAATTTTCAGTGTTATATTAATAGAAATATTGGATTACGCATTTGCAAACAGAAATACTTCCACGTGAAATAAATTTTCAAGATGCTGATAATTATTCTGCTAATGTAATAAGCATTTATCGATACTTGTACCTACCTATTGTTCAAAATTATCGCGTAAATAATAGAATATATGAATTTCGTTGTCTAAGGTAAGGTTCTTGTATATCTTTTGTCTAAATTATATGCATTTTTGAAATGTAAACAGCAAATATAAGCTTTCAAAAGACTTTTGAAATTTAATTATTCTTATAAAAAATGTACATGAAATTAACTAAACTTTCTATTAAAAAAATATTCCAGAATATGTATATAATCTGAAATGTCAGGGCCGGATAATTACAAGCTCTACGCAGGCCCTTTTTCTAAAAAAAATCAGCTATCAGCAACTTGCCGATATAAAATTTCTAAAACTAAACACTTTTTGGTTTGAATCTAAATCCTAAAAAAGCGCTAAAATTCATATTGCCAGATCTTACCGAAGCCCCCCGCCCTTTAAATCCAATCTGTTATGTTTTATAACATTTAATATTGAAATCATATTTTCAAATCCGTTTGTGTTAGATCATATCCACGCGTATCAATTTTGTATCGTTTTGTTTGACGATTTCCAAAGATATATATAATTTGTTTATCTTATCAGTTTACATGATTGTTTCATAATCACATATCAAAATTTATGGACACGTTTGTTCACACTGAGATGAGATACTAAATATCGCCACTCAATGAAACTTTTAGCTAATATTTCATAATTATTGTTTCCAAAAGCGCTGTCATAATGTAGTCCGTACGAATATTTGTTAAGATAGAATTCCAACAAGACCTCTGCGTCATTTTCTTGGAATAACCGCATTCGATACCTAAAGTAGAAAAACACCCGATTGAAATGATATGGAAACAAGGTAGCAAAGAAAAATGTTTTATTTAAATTATATCTCGATAAACATCGTACGGGTGCTGTATAAACTTCAAACGCAAAAAAAAGAAAAATACGTCAAAAATATAACTGATATATCCAAAACAATACCGAGGTACCTACCACTATATGTAATTTCAAAAAGCCGAACGAAAAGCGGAAAAAAGTACCGACATTAAAAAATTAATGAAGCTAATACCGAGGCTAATACATTATAGATCCTACAATAACAGTAAAATATTTATGATGGTTAATAAAGATATTTAAGGTATTTATTTTTGTATTAAGATGTTTAATTTTAGATTAAAATATTTAACGTTAGATAATGTATTTACCTCACTTGGTTCATACGAGTACATATTTATTCAATGTTCTATTTCTGTTGTATTCCTGAAACAAAGAAACCAACTAACTAGTTAATCGTAAGTAATTTCTTATTTTGTGCCTATCTATAAGGCACCAGTTTTTTCGGACCATACTATGGGGATCTCGACAAAATTGCAGAATATGCTGACAAATTTCATGCTGAAGAGAAATTTGACTTATCTTTTTTCCGAGCTTTTTTCGTTTGGAAGTTATCGACCAAAAAGTGAAAATTTTAATTATGGCTTTTATTTTTTACACAAAAACATAAAGTGGATTTTTTAAATTCAAAAATTCAACAAATCAAGACACTTTTTTGTCGTGGAATAAAATATGTACAGTACAACTTATTTTATCTAACCAATGAAGATCGGGTGCACAGTTGCAAAATGAAGGGGCGGTTATCGAAACTAATATAGTAAATGTCCATTCTAAAAAAGGCATTCCACATGAAAGTTATATTATAGTTAATGTTGGATTTTCACA